CCACCCCCCCACCTCCTCCTCCCCTCGTCTCTCGCTTCAGCTGGGACGATGCACCAAAGAGAAGAAGCAATAAAGCGAAAGCACAGAAGAAAAGGAGAGTAGAAGAAGAAGTGCTTCGCTCTCTCTTCCCTCAGTCTGTGTCCCAGGTGCTGCCTCTGCAGTCTGTGTGTGTGTGTTTCGCCACACACTCACTCTCTCTCTCTCTAACATCCTCACTCTGATTCTCTCTTTCTCTCTCGCCCTATCCTCTCTTTATAATCTCTCCCTCTTCCTCATACTGAAAACTTTTAGTCCGGTGAACAGCTGCTCGTCCCACCGGTCCTCCACCACTGACAGCAATTCCCCCCCTTTTTTCCCCTCACCTCCCATTCATCTACCCTCTCTCTCACTCTCGTTCTCTCTGTCTCACACACACACACACATAAACATTGTCCCATGTAGTCTATAGGCTGCCATGCTATGCAGTCACCCCCTGACTGCCCACTCCCCCTCATGTAGCATGTGCTCTCATTCCCTCTCTTTTTTTCTCTCCTGCTCCCATGCGCTCTCTCTCTCAGCCTTCTGCCTCTTTCCCAGTCAAACTATAGCGGTGTTACACTTCCATGCTGAGCAGACGGTGGTGGTGATGATGAGGTTTGAATGGCACATGTGGTGCTGCACATGGTCAAAGTGGGGAAAAAGCAAGGGGGAGAAGGCCGAGCGAATTAAATTAATCTCTGTATATGTCGTGTGTTAATTTGTAAATGTATATCAGTGTGCATAGACTGTGTGTGTGTGTATGCGTGTGTGTTCAACTGCCCTTGTTGCTCCAGTGAATCCTATTCACCTGAAGTCCCTTCCCACAAACACAATCACAGACACACAAACACATACACCCTACCTGCTGGCACACACTGTCTGCCCTCTCCTATTAGCCTCAGCCCCGAACTCCAACCAACCAACCAACCAACCAACCAACCAGCCAACCAACCAACCACCCGATCTCCCTCTGGTACACACATATAAATACACACATCCCCCATCTCCTTCCCTTCCCCCTTCCTCCCCCCTCCCCATCCTCTCAGAGATCAATACCAATTTATAGGCAAATGCACAAAGGCTGAGTCGCGCTTTTAATGAATTGAACCATTGCTAACGTCAGACATCTAATGAAGGCTCTGAGAGAGGCGTTAAGAAAACCTATGGCGGGAGCTGCAGAAAGCGTGTAAGGGTTATTGGGAGTGTGTGTGTTTGTTTGCAGAACTGTAGGTTTTTGGATCACAGGTTTTACTCAAATTTCCAGTCAAGATCCCCATTAAGGTATTTAACTAATATAAGACAAGTTCAAGGATAAAATGAGCATGTTCTTCATCCACAAAACACTAATGCAAAAAAAACCCCTAAACTATTAGTAATAGAAAAGAAAGAAAAATGGGGCATGCACTGCTTCTGCTAATCTGCAATGTCAGGAAGTCTCTCTTTGTCTTTGTTCTGTCAAACTTTCAGCTTGAAGGACAATTAAAGCTAATAAAATCTCCATGAAAGCGTGCATTAAAGCATACTGTTGACACAGCACAAAGTTCTCCCCAATATTCTATTTGCTAACATACAAGGAACAAAAGACACATTCCCCTATATAAGAGTCCTTCCACAGTGAAGTGGAAAATGGATATTTTGTAAAAGCTTCTACGTGCATACATTTTCCACTTGTGTTTGTGCCTAACCACTCACATATTGTATATTGCTTTTCCATGCTACATAATCTGACTCTCATGTCTTGTCCTGCACTTTGAACACACAAAATGCCTGAGTGTATCAACTGCAAATGCAGAAGCTAGTATGTCATCTTCTCTATAGCCGCCCCAATAGCCCTTTTGTGTGTTCCTACCACTGTGTAACCAGTGCCATGGGGGCTGCACACATCAGCCCTGCCCGCCCAGTAATTAAACTAAAAGTCTCTTCCATAAATCACAGTCGTCTTCTTCTTTTCTCCTCTCTCGTTCCTATCCTATTTTCTCTCCCAGGGATGGAACGAAAGTTTTGTAAATTACCAGCTATGGCTGGTAAATGAGAGGGGCTATGCACACTACAAATCCAGCTCTAGACACAGACACATTAAGAAGAATTAAGCCACCTATCTAGCTTCTTTGCCATCATAGTCACAATATTCCTGGCGGGAATTACAATTCTCCGGGGAGAAGTAGCCAGTTCCTGCAGATTGCAAGAGCTGCTCAGCATGTAATGTGCACCCTTGCTCCACTACAATACATAGTTGGGAATGTACCATCAGACAGGACTTCTTTAGAACAAGGTGAAGTACTAAAATGTTTTCTCATACATGCAAATGAAATTGAAACAAATATAAACCTCTTCATTCTTGTACCCTCTCAACATTTAGAGTCCCTATGGTTAAGCTAACACAGTTTCACACAGGCTTCTTTTCATACCAAGTGGAGGATAGACACATTCCCTTCAGTCAGCTGTGTCTGCTAAAGCATGTAAAGCTATGGAAGTGCTCTCATACAGGGATGGGCAAAGATACCCGACACTTTGCCACCTCCTGTCAGTGCTCTGGATGCTTGACAGACAGCTGACTACTGCTGATCTCCCTGGTATCTGCTAACTGGGTAAAATTAGCCTGGACAACGGCAACACAGAGAGAGAGAGAGAAGGAGAGACACTGGAAGAGAAGTAGGGGGAATGATAGAGAAGGATGGGAGCATATGCGGGACACTTTTAGAACCTTGCTCTTACTTTAAACTTCTCTCGCTCCTTCTCTCTGGAGAGTGACACATGTGTGTGCCCCGTCTATAGATAGAGCCGAGGCCCCGTTTGGACGGCCGTCCCAACACAATGATGCAACTGATAGAACTCACCTGTGCTGCACCATGTTCAACACCATGCATTATGTTCTGCTGCTGCCATATGGAAATATAGTGGCTCACATGCTGCATAAAATGCAGTGGAAAGTTTTATAAAAACTGGCGAAAAAAAATGTGTGGCGATGTGATAATTTCACATGTGTATGTTCATGTACATGTTCACAATCTGAGCAAACAGACAAAGGCAATAGCACAATAAATAAAAAAATTTTAAAAGTACTTTAAACTTGATGTACATTGTGTAAATTCATATTCCATAAAGAGAGACTGAGTCATTTCCACCATTTCCAGTTTTCATTCTAAGGAGTTTTCACTGAGTGTGAAATACTTGCTTCATCTGTCCAGAATGTTGAGTCTCAGAGATAACCCTTGACCTTTCAACCCTGTCCAACATGCAGCATGTTGTAACACTTTCCCTGCTACCACCAATCAAAAAAACAGCAGCGCAACAAATAAATAAGAAGACTGTTTCCAGCTCACTCACTCACATTTGGAATTTTTTCTTTCAAACCAGCAGCTAAAAAACAAAACTAAAATAACAAAACTAAATACTTTACTCTGTGAGAAGGCGGACAAAACAATGGTACACATACAGAAACACACAATATATGCAGTGTGTAAGCACTATGAAAACAAAGAAAGCAAAATTTTAAAAACACTTATTCTACAAATCTCTAAACACACACTGAGGCACTTCAACACCTACCGTAGTAAAGGTGATCCAGATGGGGATGGTGGCCCATGCGGAGTGAAGCAGTCGCTGCAGGCGGAGTCTCGCCTCCCTGGGAGCTGAATCAGCGATGGAGAGTTTAAGGATGCGGAGAGGAAAAGGGGAGGAGGAGGAGGAGGAGGAGGAGGAGAAGGAAAGAAGGAGTGAAAGGAGAGGAGAGAAAAGAAGAAGAGGGTCATGGGACTTGTGACTATCTCTCTCTCTCTCATTGCTGGATGCAAAAGGAGGAGGGGAAAAACAGGCAGACCAAGAATAAAAAAAAGACATGCATGTAGAATTGAGAGTAAAAATAGTGGCCATAAAAGAAAACCATAGAGGTTTGTGTAAGAGGATTCGATTTTGAAGTGATGACTGGGCAGTGAAATGCGTCAGCCGGCAGCTGCCCGTCCTTGCGCACCACACCAGGCCATGTAAAGTTAGAAGGAAGACAGCTGATCAGACTACCAGAGAAGGAGATGGAGAGAGATAGTGAGTGCTGACAGAGCTGAAGGACAAATCGGGAAGAGGGACAGGGAGAGGGAGGGGTTGGGAGTGCGAAAGAGCGGGAGTAAAGAGAGGCAGTGCGCAAGGAATTGAGGGAAAATAACGTAAAGAGTAAAATGAAATAGAGAAGAATGAAGGAAGGATTTGGAAGGTAGAAAGGAAAAGGCAGGAAAATGAAAGACAGGAAGGTAAAGTAAAAGGAAATGGGAAAACAAAAAAGAAGGGAAAAAGAACTGAAAGAAGGAAATGCAGAAACGCAGAGGTGCAATGTTTGGAAGAGGAAAAAAACAGAAAAATAAAAAAGAGCAGTTGAAGGGGGAGCTTTTAAAAAGTAAACTTAATTATTTCTTACTCTTTTCTGTCTTTCTTGTCCTTTTGCTCCCATATTCCACTCAGTCACTTTCCAGATATGTCGTCCAGAGGTTGGAAAAGGCAATTCCTCCGCAGAAAAAAAAAGATGAGGGAATGACTACAAAAAAAGAAACAATAACAAAAAAAACCCCCAAAAAAACAACAACTTAGATATCAAATTCTTAAAGTAAAGTAAAAAAGGGTTTTTAGTGGTCATCTGATACCGCTTATGAGCAGTGATTTGTACGTTGATTTTTTTTTCAATATGGGTGTCAAAAATAGTCGAAAGAACATTAGAATGAGAACACTGTGAGTGAGGGAAAAGCAGCGTAATCAGAGGAAACCCCCACTGTCCCACGATTTTTATACCAAGGTAAGAACCAGAGACACACACCCCTCTGTCAGCCCACCCATGTAGGCAAGATCCACGGCCTTATTTAGAGAAGCATGGCAAAAAATAGCCTCCCAAGTGTTGCTTTGAGGTGTCAGGGGTGGGGTGGGAGTGTCTGTGTACAGAGGGTGGGTGGGAGAATAGGAGTGACAAGATGGGAAAGACTTGGAGATGAGAAAGGTTGGGTCAGTGGAGGTGGTGATGTAGCCGCTTTTAATCATTCTATCTGCTATTTGACTAGTGTGGCCTGAGCTTGAATTACTCAACAATCTTCTCTTGTTTTCACCGGTGTCATGTGACCATCCTATAGCTTCCTCTGCTCAGAATGCATCATCTGCTGTCATCATACCACCAGCATTGGTGGTAATATAATGTTGTAATGGATTTTTTTGGTATTTGCTCCATGTTATATCTATTTGGTGCTAAAAATCTGCACTCCACTATTTGCATATATGAAGTAAATGCAGTGAAATCTGTAAGTATTTGGACAGTTTCTCAGTTTTTATGAGTTTTCCTCTGTACGATAGAACAATGCACTTTGATCCAAACAGTCAAGACATGATTGAAGTGCAAACTTTCAGCTTTATTTATTCAGTCATAATTGGTGAGAGCCTCAACTTTGACTTTATAACACCAACCTTAACTCTTCTGATGAGGCTCAAAAATGACTTTTAAAAATGTGTTAAAATGTGTTATATTTAGCTTTCCACATAAAAATGTGGAAAGTTAAAATTTTTCTTTATTTATCTAACCAAACCTCAGAGAACAATTTTAAAAAGTAGCACAGAGTTGGGGTTAAGGTCATCACCAATTATGACTTAGGCCTGATTTAGACTTCAGTGGGAAACTTTTGTAGAGCCTATGACGTAACCTAGTGGTCAATGTCATTTTCCACAATTATGCTTGTGTATGGTTACATGTTAATTACCACGTGGTCATGTCCTGTGGTTACAGACAGTGTCAGCCTGAAAAAAATTCAGTGCCGGGACTTTTTTCTCTCTTTGGTCCGGCTCCTATTTTTTTTTATTTTTTGGAGGCAAACATTTGCTTAGGTTTCCATTCCTTTGTTCTTCATGTCCATTCTGGCAGTTTCCGTAATGTCCCTGTAGTTATATTGATGATTGTTATTCTGTCAAGGATAAATTCAAAAACTGCAGTGAAAAAGTAGCCGGAAGTGCACAGGAGGAATCAAGGGTGCTGAACAAGGCCAATCACAATATTTGAGGGATGCGTCCCGACGTGCAGTTACATTTCTTGGGAGGTGCACGTCTGGACTGAAAGCTTGAAGAGCATCTCAGCAGGCAAATTTCAGTATTTGGTAATGTCTATGAGGAGACAAAGGGCTTACATGCAAGTATAAAAAATAATTATGCAAAATTTATAATTTTGTAAACTGGACAATTACTTTTGAGTCTCTGAAAATAGGGGACTATGTATAAAAATGGCTGTAATTCCTAAAGAGTTAATGTCAGTACATGCACTGTCTTTATAGGCTTGCCCTTTAAAGTTGACAAGCTTTAATACTGGCACAATAGAAAAAACCTTCTTAAGCCTGAGATCCCCTATCTTCATCCCCTTGTCACCACCGCCCTGCTGAATCTCCCTGCTGTATTTTTAGAGCTGCCAAATAAAGATGCACGGGGCCCTCCACTGACAAACCGGAAACCAACTATCACATACACACGCATCCCCTCCCCGAATTACAAAGCTGTAGTCACAGCACCCAACCCCAGTCCTGCATCACATTTGGCGACACCATGGGGTGGTGCTATATATGTATGGACCCTAAAAAATTAAGAGAGAAGGGACCCACATATAGACAAGCAGGGTTAGAGGTGTTCACTCTGTGAGTCTCTGATCCAACAAAGAGTCTCACAGGAGACAAATGTATCTGTGAAGGAAGCAGCCAAGAGACATGGCAAGATGGAGAGAGAGAAAGAGAGCGAATGAGGGGGCCTGGGAATTGAGAGGACAGGAGAAAGGGAGGAGAGATGGGGAAAGAAAGGATATTGATTTCCACCTTAAAGAGGCAATCTCCGCTTCTCAGGAGCTCCAGGGAGTAAGCGTGTATCTGTGCCTGTATGTGTGTGTGCGTGTGCGTATGTGTATGATCTGTCCTGGGATCGCAGACTGAAGACACGGGTGCACACAAGCGTGCACGCACACACACACACACACACACACACACACACACACACACACATAAATACACAATTTGGAATGTTAACAATGTTTAGAAAAAATGAAACAAAGCACAGAGCAAAAGAGAAAATAACACCTTTAAACTAGTCATTTTATGCCCTGCCTCCTTCAAAGGCATCCCACTGCTCTAATTAGTTTTATTAGCTGCAATCTTTTTCCTCTTTTGAATTTTTACGAGTTTTATGTTCTCTTTTTATTTCACACCTTCTTCTCAACAGTTTTTATTTTTTTAAACTTTCATCAAAAACATTAAGTAAAGGATTTTTCAATGACTGCTTACTGAATGCTGAAGATTCAAACTACACTAAGACTACATCAGAGTAAACAAGCTTTTTCCCCCTCAGAAATAGTTATATAATAAAATATAATAGCACATTTGTACATTCTTTGAACTACAATATATAAAATGAGTGGCAGCTTTTCATCTTTCAGACATTGTTGGTTTTTATATTAATGACCCTTATATCTTTGGGCAGACACCAGAGACTACAGACTTTAGAGAAAGACCAACATTACACACAACTCACAACTAATATGTTATGCCGTTATTTTTGTGCCATTATTCTGAGCGCACGTAAAAAAAAATTGCAGGTGCAAGTGTTGCATTTTGGGGAGAAATTTATTTTGAGCGAAGAAAAGCTAAATTTGAGTGAACAAAATTCATTGCTGCGTGCAGCAAATGTATTTCAGTGTTTGCTATTATCCATATACACACACAATAGCAGCCCCTCTCGCTCAGTTTTTGCATTTACGCTCGCTCGCAATGTGTTGCTTGCGCTCTCAACATTTTTGCCCATGCGCATTCAACTCTTTCTCTACACCGTTATATTTGTGCCACAAAACCAGCCAATCACAGACTTGGATGCAAAAAAATCTGATTGGCTGTTTTGGTCTCCAATCAGCTCGAAATGACGAAATGCAATATCCATTTCATCCAAAACTCAAACGAGGCAGTGGCGGAGGAACACAGAGTGGCAGAGTTTGAAATATTACTCTTTCTGGGTGACAAAATAAACTTTTAAGATATTTTCATGCGAGAATGGTGCTGTGTGAACTTCAAATGTCTGCTCGATTTATCAAGACATCACATATTTGCAAAAGTGCTCTAACGTTTTCGGAGATGCCTGTTAACCACCAGCTGACCACATAGCTAGACTGGCCATTGGGCATAGCTGGACTGGCCACTGGCCGGTATCGCTCAAAAAACAATTTCTCTTCAAAATGCAACACTTGCACCTGCAAATTATTTTTTACGTGCGCTCAGAACAGTGGCACAAAAATAACGCCATAATATTTGAGACCAGTTAGTATAGAAGGTTGTAATTTATGAAACATTTACAGCCCTATTAAACTCTCAGGACATCTTGTCAACTGCAAGAAGAGAGAGTGCCTCTCTTATCTCTGGATTAGAAAAGTATCCATTTTTGAAAATATTACCACTTTTTAAATTTCACGTCTTTGGCTATTTAACTTTGGTAATTTAACCCCAGCTCATGTGCCTCAAGGTCATCTCCTTGGGCAGTGCTGCACCACTTTCAGCACAGCTATTTTTATATTGCCCTGCTGTATTTACCCTCACACAAGTGTGACACACACTGAAGCTTTTTCTGTTTGTTAAAATTGACTTCTTAGTCTTTAAGTTTACTCTGGGAAAGAGGATGAAGTGACAGGGAGTAAAATTCAAGTGGGTTGTTATGCACAGATTATGTTGATGAGCCCAAAAAAACTTCCCAGTGTGCTGTGCTGAGCAGGCACACTTGGACCTCAATGAAGATGAAGAAGGATACCCAGCTCTCACAACACAACACTTATGATCATCTCAGGGACACAGCTCCAGCTGCGAGCACAGAAGCCCATCCACCTGCTGTTCACACACACACACAACCAATCAGAAGAAAGCCAACTCAAAGGGAGGGTGGCCTGAAAGGTAAAGAAATAAACTGCTATTTTCAAACCTCAGATAAAGGCAAACATAAAAGGGATACATTTATTATTTTGAAGTGTGATTATGCAAAGCTGCTCTAATAGTCTAATAGTCCAAGAATTAAAATAGAACTTGTGTAAGTACAGCTAATACAGCTGGTGGCCTTCTGAGGCTTTCCTGTGATAACTATGTTAAAAAACAAATACACACCATAACGTATTCACAAATCTACAGGGTGGGCCATTTATATGGATACACCGTAATAACATAGGAATGGTTGGTGATATTAAAGTCCTGTTTGTGGCACATTAGTATATGTGAGGGGGCAAACTCCTCAAGATGGGTGGTGACCATGGTGGCCATTTAGAAGTCGGCCATCTTGGATACAACATTTGTTTTTTCAATGGGAAGAGGGCCATGTGACACATCAAACTTATTGGTAATGTCACAAGAAAAACAATGGTGTGCTTGGTTTCAACGTAACTTTATTCTTTCATGAGTTATTTACAAGTTTCTCTTTGTTCACAGCCATTGACATATCGAAGAGGTTAACACATGGGGAGCGGATCGAAATTGTGTTGATATCTGGTGAATGCAGTAACTGGGTCATT